GCGATGGAATTGGCTGCCTTCTTCTTGATTCGGAAGTCATAAAGAAGAAGCAGGCGAACTTGCTCCTTAATAAGAGGGTAGGGCTGGTTCATGGCTGGAGAGCACCAGGGCTGTAATAATATACGGTTGTATGCCGAAGGACACGACCTACTTATAAACACACGCAGAACATTCTAGCATGCTCTGGAAAAAAATTGTACTGGATATTTAAGAAATTCCGAGAACTTTCTTTCCAATCAGATAGTAGGAGCTTCCATGGCTTCATTGCCCTTGCAAATGGCAAATAGTAAGAGTGACATGTTCAGACCCTAAACTGAACTGTAATTGAAATTATTGTAAAACCATTCTGCACATCATTATTTGACACATTAGTATTGATTGCCTCAATGATGAAAGTGACATAAGTACTGCCTCTAGCAAAATTCTCATGAACAAGCTCAAAAGTCAACAAAACAAGCTCAAAACAAATATGTTCAGGCTTGCAATCTTGCAATTTGAATGTCCAAAATTTTGGAAAATAAATGTTAAATATGAATGAAATGAAATATGAATGAAAATAAATGGCATTGTTTGATTGTATCATGCAGTTAGACAAGTTTTTAACCTCTAAAGGATTAAATTTTGCATAGGGCATAAAGGAACATCAAGTCTCAGAAACAGAACTACTTACCTCAACAGTGGTAAAACTCATGATTTTATCAAGAGCATACCTAGGTATATCATTATTATGAAAGAGTCTCACACATAGGGTTAGTCAAACAAATTCTGATTCCTTTAACCCTTTCCATGCTGTTGACAGGTGAGACCACCATCACACCCATTTTCCTGTAGTGTGCCAATGACTGCTTCACCTATCTGCCCACTTCAAACTCAATATGGCAATGTTGGCACTCAGCTGAAAGTGTTGGCAGTCATCCAGTCACATAGCCAGCCACATGTTTGGCTGTTCTGGTGCAAACTGATTCATCACGCTTAGGCAGCAGCAACTTCCACCAACAAAACATATCCAGCATGGTAAGAGTTAAACTTAAAATCCACCCCCTCACCTACATTCTGAAATTGTCAGTCTTGGGATCTGAGTCATTCAAGAGGAAAATGCATACACTACCCATTCATGTTTTTAGACTGGACATGGGAGTAATCTGGTTGAAAAAGGCTGCTTGCATTTCTTAATATGTTCTATTATATAACACAGAGGATGGACTTTATAACAGGGTTAGAATTTGTATCACCTCCCCTACCCACTTTCAAATTACTTGCAGAATCAAGGACAAATTAGCATCTCACCTGTAGTGCAATGATACTCCACGTAATGAGGTTATAACCCTGAAGCATCCCTCCTTGCCTTATGGAATAATAATCTGAATAAAGCATGGCGATGGCACCAAAAAGAACACCAAAAATGCCTGAAATGTGATGGACAGTCAAGTTTCAATGCATTGTGTTTCAACTATTAAAACATAAAACTGAGAAATGTGGAATTCTTACCCATTTGTATATTTCTTATTGACAGCCTCGGTACAGATCCACCTCCATGTGAACCAAACTTTACAAGGCGTTCAAAGTACACACCAGCAAAACCACTTGAAAAACTTGCAATGAAGACACTCATGAGTCCCAAAAAAAGAGATCCTCTCTTCTTGGCAGATTCATGGGTTTCACTCTTGGATGAATCATTTGGAATCTGGAATACATGACATTTTTAAGTGGTTTAAGCAAGATGACTCATGGCAATAATTATTTCACCGTGTCATTAAGTAGAAATTGAGGACTTTGATGACATTAACCAATCCATATTACCTCATAATTCTAGCAGATCCCATCTTTAATATGTGGAGTCCATGGAACTTACATATGTCATTTCTTCAGAGTTACATAGGTCTAAACCAGTGGTGCCCAACCTTTTTGGCTAGGGGGCCACATAGCTCACTACCATAGCCATCGTGGGCCATATTAAGTCACTAGCATTGTAGGATACTATTTTAAGGAAACCTGAGGGTATTGTGGGTTGGGTCCTTGGGGGCCATTTGTAAGCACCTTGTGGGCCACTTTTTGCCTGCAGGCCATGGGTTGGGCACATCTGGTCTAAACAATGTACATGGATACTTACCCATGAGAAATCTTCAAATTATGAAACAGTAATTTAATGGCTGAGTTCCTCTAAAGTGGCTATTGCATAATACCATCAACAATTGCTGATCAGTTGATTTCTGCCTTCATCCTGTTCACTGCTGTGGTGTGGTCACTAAGAGCTGGGAACCAATGGTAAAAGAGGTACTTTCAGCTTAGAATCATAACAAAATCAGATCAGGTGAGCCTGGGGGGTTGTGATGATCAATGACCACCCAACCCTTTCCTGGAAGGACTGTACTAGCAGAATTTGTGAAATGACAAGTTGTGTTTTCAAGGAGTACGATCTTACTTGAGCTTGGAGTTATGGATGATGCTGTCAGATGGCCAGACACAGTTTCTCGGACAGGAATTCCTTATCACTGCAATGCTGTATTGGGGAATATTGTCTAAGATACCATGTCAGATCATCAGAAAGTATCATCCACAACTCCCACCATGGAGCACCCTCATTCTCAATGAATATGTGACATGCCAGAAAAATATGCAAGTATACTCCCTGCAGGATTGGGATGGTAGATCAATAAATATCCCCTCTACTCTTATTTGAAAACTTATGACTGGCCTGATTTCACAGCAGAAGGAACTCCTCCATGACCATCCTTTCCAGACACTTGCTTGTCATGGCCATAGCAGCAAACATGATTTAACAGACATCACTCAACCTGCAAGTACTGATGGCATCATATAGCTGCCATACAGGAGGAACTGACATGAAACTCTCGGGAGTCAAATTTCAAGGTTGCACATCTGTAGTGTCCATGCACAATGTAATTAGTGCAATAAAAATTGGTTTCAATATCTTCAGGAATAACCCTTGCATGATATCTTATAAATAGTAATTATAGTTGTCCCTTTGTCTTGAATGTAGTAGTATGAATAGGTAGGGTGGTTAAAAAAAACTACTGTTTTCCATGGGAGAAACACAGTTTCATAAATGCAGCAAAAAAAATTACATTGGATATGCAATTGACATTTGACAGTTACAAGGTGTTGACATTTTTGCCAACTTTTTTTTCAGCACATCTGCCTAAATTGTGCAATGCCCATTTAGAGGTGAATTAAAGGTTCTTAGAGGTGGATCATTCCACCTCAAATGAGGTGATGATCTTTGCTTGTCCCTCTCAGAGTTCAATGAACTTTTCAACTTTAACTTTTCAAGCAAAAGTTGGATCCAACAGTTACTTAACAGAGAGGTTCATTCGTCTAATAGGTTTGTTTTCACTTCTGCAAGATGGCACTGTATTATGATAGAGGGGGCTGTTATTGACTGAGTGACCGAGGGTGATTACAAAAAAGCTCCACTGCTTTCAAAGGGAAGTATGATTCATGTATTCAAGTAAAAAATATAAGATTGATAAAACTCTTGAAACTGGACTAAGAGCAGGTGTTGAGAAGATTGCCTGGGTTTTTCTCAGAGCAATTATTTAAGCTTTGCATAAGGCATATGAGCACAAATCATACTTTCTTGATTCACTTGAGGTGCAATGATCCACCTCTAAGCACCTTTAATTCACCTCCAAATGGGCATTGGACAATTTTTGCAGGGGTGCTGAAAAAAAAGCTGGCAAACATTTCAACACCTTGTAACTGTCAAATATTGATAGCTTATCCCAAGTAATTTTTTTTGTTGCATTTATGAAACTGTGTTTCTCCCATAGAAAATGGTAGTTTTTCTTAATCCACCTTATATAATCCTCAAAAAGAGATCTACTACATGAAAGCATCCTCAGATCACAAAGAGAAAGATTTACATAACGAAGCAAAGTACCTGCACAAGGGCAACACCAATCATGAGTAGCACCAGTGAGACCCATTGATGAGTCTTCAATTTTCGACCTAGAAGCATCACAGAGAATATTGCTGTAGTGAGGATCTTCAACTGATATGTCACCTGAAACATTAGAAAGAAAACTGTGAGTCATGCAAGTAATTTCAAAGCAACAAGGCTATATTTCCTGAACAACATAAGATTGCCTTCATTTAATTATTAGACCCACAAGTTATCAAACTTCCATGTTTCCTGATAACAACACCCAGTAATTATAGTGTAGCAGTATTGTATAGCATACAGTTATTACGGTATAGCATGTGCTCTACCGTAAGGTGTGATCTACCTCCCAGGCAAGCAAGCAAAGCCTTACTTGCTAAGGAGGTAGATAAAAAAGAGATGGCAAGGGGGATTAACTTTAGAATCTGTTACAATGCCTTTGGGAGCAAATAAGTGTTAATACCATTTCATATTTATGGATATATTGGTAATATATTTTTCCTTCTCATGGCATGTTTTCCTACACCCTTCCAGTCTAATGTTAGTCATTCCAGAGAGACCAGTCATTGCACTGGCACAGTTGGTGGACTCCCATAATTTTATCCCAGGTTCGATGTCCAAGGCCAAGAGTGAGAAAGTCAATTCAGCCCAACAAAGAAGGAATGTGGCTCCCTTGGAATGCATTTATAGCTAGTTCTTATCCAGTGCGCTTGGGTTTAGTGAAAACCCAAAAGAGCATATAGGGAAGGTAGAGTGCACACTATACTGGCACCAAAATGTCTATCTGTAGACATTGAAATAGAGATACAGATTTATGGGTGCACTAGAGAGAGTGAGAAATTTTTATAACTTTAATTTAAGTCTTTTCTTTAATTGCCACTCCAATGCAAGACTAGATCATAAACTTATTTTATGGCAGTATCTGCTATGAATCAAGAAGATAAAGTTGGAAATAGATTGACTAGAAAAGGATGATATGAAGGTATTGGTATCCAGAATGACTGATCATGATTCAATTAAATTCATAACTTTTGCTTTCTTTGGTCACATTTACATGAAGAACAGTAAGTTGACAAAAATTTCAATAATTGACTTTTTAATTTAAAATTAAGCAGACAGTGAAAACATTTGATCAATTAGTAGCAAAAAAATTTGTCTCTTGAAGCTCTACCCCCTACTAAAGAGGACCTTTCCTGCATTTCCATATCAAAGTTAAATTTGCTATTTTGTAAGGAGCAAGAAGTGAATCCCCATTCCATACATGTTGAGAGAAGTTAATTCATTCATTTAAATGGAAGTATAAGCAGCCTTGAATGAAGACTTAACTGATGCAAAAACATTGACCAACGTTACTTGTTCTACAGCGAAATGCATGAAACAGATCAATGACAACGAGAAATGTGAAGAGGACTTGGATGGTTTAGTACCTGGTATGTTGGGGCATCCAGGTTTGACAATGCAATGAAAAGAAGGTTGTTCTGAAGAGTGTACATTGCACTTGGGATGATGAGTTTGAAAGTCTCATTCCAATCAGTGATACCATGATACAGAGTGGCACTGGCCTCTTCAACATCATAACCTGAAACAAAAGATACAAAAAGCAATGTGACTCATATGATATGGGCCTTATTGTAATAACAAGATGCATTACACCAGCCCTGCAAATATTTTCCCTACGTTTAACAGAATAGCTATATTTTCCCTTGCCTTGCCCAATGACAGAAAGAAAGCTCTGTACAGATAGGTCTATGCAAAGATATGTCTTAGATATGCAGATATGCAAGTAATGGGACAATATCTTGCATGAGAGAAGTACTAAATAGAAACTTGCATGAGGGGAAGGGTGCTTTTTATTCCCATTCCACTTGTCATGCCATCAGCTTTTCATTCACCAAATAGTATAGTATGCATGGCACTGGCAAGTAAAAAATTCATAGGCCTGCATTACACCTACCTAACACTAAAACTTGACTGGAGAATATAAAAACATAAAAACCTTATAAATGGGGCTATGGCATTTACAAATGATAGATGAGTCGATGCAAAGATGATGTATACTTGTGAGCAAGCTCACATGTCAATTACATATTTGAACACAATCCATTTGTTCCGGTCTTTGTTTTTGCAGCATTTAACTGCAAATATAGGGTGGGTCACAAATCATGCTACAATTTGAAATGCAGATGACTTTTGTCATATTATTTCCAATTCTTTTATCTTTGTTTCAGATTGAAGATTAGTAATTGGAATTGCAATTAACACATACCTGGGATTTTTGCCAGAAAGGGCTAAAATTTTGGAGCTTTATTTTCAAACATGGTTCCATTAAATCTATTCAATGTGAATTCAAGAGAGAATCACATCGTAGAGATGCACCCAGCCATTGGACAATAATGCAACTCATGAGAAGTTCTGCAAAGAAGGAAACGTAGTAAGAAAAACTTATGGAAAACGAGTTCCTCTACACTCTACATGGTTCCAGCAAGATGGAGCAACATGTCATTTGGCAAGAAATGTAATGGATTTATTGCGCCAAAAGTTTGGCGAAAGACTAATTTCAAGGAATAGTCCAATTCCCTTTCCTGTCAGACCACCTAATTTGCCTGCACTTGATATTTTTTGTGGGGCTATTGTAAAGCTCATGCATACAAAAGCAAACCAAATAATCCAGAAGAGCTGAAAGAAAGAATCCGACATGTAATCGGTGGAATAAACAGAGAAATACTAGCTGCCACAATGAAGAACGTTATGGCACGATGCAGACATTGTTCAGGTTAATGGTGCACATCCAAAGCAGGTCTTTTTATGTCAATGACTTCACAGTTTCTCCAAGCAAATGACACTACATAAATCTGTGAAATGTACAGGGTGCGACAAAAGTTCTGGAACCAACTCTTTCAAAATCTTTAAATGGAAACAAAACGAAAATTCACCAGCTGAAGGAATAATATGATAAAGGAGAGATATCAGAACACTGCTTTGAAAACCATTTTTAAAATGACCACCTTTGGCTTCAGTGAGCGTCCAAATGATGAGGAAACTAGTTGACGATGGCGCGCAACTGCACTTCGTCTATTTCTCCCCACGCACAGGGCAGATTGCACTTCAATGAATCCACACTTTAGTGAACTTTTGAGCAAACCTTTTGCTGCAGCATTCCCCAAATGGAATAGTCCATTGGGTTCATGTTGGGCGAGTGGGCTATCCATTTGTGCAGGGTGAAGAATCTCAAATTCTTTCTGAGAAACTCTTGAGTGATCTTGGCTTTGTGTGATGGTGCAGTCATGTTGAAAAATTCATTCACATTGTCCAAATGTTGTTGAACCCATGGAATGAGGACTTTCTCCAAGACAGTATCAATATAACCTAGATCGTTGATTTTCATGTCGCTCTGAATGAAGATCAGTGGAGCTTTTCCGGTTGCGCAAATCCCTCCCCACACCATGACCAAAGGTGGAGCTTGCTTGTGGAGCTTTGGATGATTCGACGGTCGATATTGTCTGCTGAGCGATTCTTCAGAAAGACACGAATATTTTACAGGTTAAAGACCCCCACTGTGGTGAAAAGTTTCTCATCCGAAAAGAGAATAATTTTGTGGCAGACATTTTCGATCAGATGTTTAATTAATTTTCCTTTGCAAAGTTGTTGTTCCATCCTTTTTTCCGGCAATCTTTGGGGCCCTCTGCTGCTTTTAAGGGGGAAGGGGATTTCCTCCTTGTCCTTGATGCTCAGTTCATTCATCGATCTTCAGTTCTCTGGCCATCTTCCTCACTGAACATCTTGGATTTCTTTTGATCCAAGATTAGATGGCTTTCTTGTTCATTTGAGTGTTCGCAGTTCTTGGATGGCCAGATCTTTGTTGGTCTTCAGCAGTACTTGGGTCTTGAAACCGAATGACAGCTTGCCAGACTCTTTTCATTGGAATCTAAAGCAGATGTGCAATTTCAACATTGCTTTTGCCCCTCTTGTGCAGCTCGATTATTGTGATTCATTGATCTTGTTTAGACGTCTCAAGAAAAGAGGATAAGGGACAGAAAAATGTTCAGAAAATATCCAAAAGCTTAGACATATCAAAAAACAACACTTGAAAACATATTACAATTGATAATGCAATTTCGAATGAAAAAAATTTTTTCAGAAGACAGAAATTATGAAAAAATTCTGGTTCCAGGACTTATGCCATGCCCTGTATTTTACTTTTGTGTCCAATTTGAATCTTGCAGCAACAATATATTTAATTTTATTGTAAAATCAATTTGTAGCATAATTGGTGGCCCACCCTGTACTCTCCACTTCTAAAAAGTAACTTTCCCATCTAGACTCTCACTGCAAACTCAAGGATCAATAAGCTGCTCAAGAGCAAAACCTACTTTTTGAAACATAATTCAGGCAGTGAAAGCCCACCACACCCATCTGACCCAATAGTTATAGAATAGACAAGGCTGAAAAAAAACTCCCAGAGTAGCATGATACTCATCCAGGGTAAATTATTTCTGGGTTAGTAGTAGTTGCAGAGGGGTACAGTTTTTCGGAATCAATGACTACTGTATCACTGAAAGTATTAGCAACTAAAATGAGTCCATGGTAATCAGTTGAATCCTATTTTGTAGATAATACACTTGGATATTCTGTTGAAATAATTTAGATCAAATGATAATCGACAGAAAGAAGAATTAGAAAGGCAGAAGGTCAAAAACACTTCTTTGCAAAGGATTTAATGTCCTGACATTTGCAGAAGAAGCAAACAAGGCATGTAAAGCCCATCATCCATCATAGTCAATTCTGATTATGTTGAATGGCAGAGAATATAAGCTGTGTCAAGGAAAGTTAACTGAATGTTAATATGACCATGACACATCACCTGAATTGCAAGTCAAATGAAGGGGTTCAGCATCACTTTTCTTATTTGTAGAGTAAGCAGTGATGGTTATACAGCCAAGAGAAATCCAAAGGGAAAGACTGATGAGTTAAAATAGAGAATCTTTCAGAGTCTTTGGAGCCAGTATTATCCCATTCCAAAAAAAAAAAAAAAAAAAAAGTATCACCCTGAAACTTCTTGAGTGGACATAGCTCACTCTGTTACCAAAACTGTTGTGGCCAGATCATGCATGTACAAAATTATAGTAAAGCTCTGTCTCTTTGACTTCATGATGACTTTTTGCAAGAGATTCAATATTGCAACCAAGGCAAAATGTAGGGGTCCATTCAGCCCACTGTTTCTACACCATTCAGTCTATTTTTGGGGGGGATGGAGTATTATGGTATTATGTTTGATGCTGTCAACATACTTATTAGGAGTGAACTAAACTCCCCAGTAACCAATTCCAAAAACTATTCATTACTTGAATTGGGGGCCTGTGAAGAAAGTCCACTATGAAGTGAAAAATCTGATTGACCTTAAATTTTGTGCGTTGAATTTTACTCTTTAACCCTTTCCCTGGCCGGAATAATGATAACTTTGACGATGTTGACATAAAACTATGCCAATGCCAGAGAAAGGGTTTTAAGTGGCTCAACATGCAAAAAAATTTTAAATCCATAAGGATGTGGAGTTTACCTTTGGGTCATTTTTCCTGGAATGCACCAGCATGAAATCATGGCAATTACTTTTCTAACACTTCTAAATGAATCTAACTGACCGATTCCCAAAGTACCTAGAATTTACTTAGGGATTCACAAGCAAATTCAAGATGAATTTTTCCTAAGTCAATCAAGAAAATGCTCATTGATGTCCCCCTTGCCAATTTGAACAGTGGCCCTATCATGAACTGATAATACAATGCACACCTGCAGTGATGTCCAAAGCTGAAAATAAAACATTGGTACCACCAAAAAAATGTCCTCAGACCTTGAGCTATGAGTTTCAGCTGATCAGAATTGGTCTATTTTCACCAGTTGATTTCTGTGATCAAAAGGCTAATTATCACCTACACTTCATCCTTTTGTGCACAGACTCTTAGAGGCATATGTATAATAACTACAAATCACAAGCTGTAGGGAAACAGCTTCTTGGGACATAACTTGTCCAAGTTTTTCTGGGGAACATGGAGGGCTGCAGAGCATAAATCTTACCCAAAACTTATTGAATGTCCCTCTATTATCATGAAATGGGTGACCTGTCAGCAAAGCCATGGTCTTTTAGTCTTTGCATAATCCAAGCATCTGTCTTCTTCCTTGCTCTGACTCCATGGTTTTTTTTTGTCCTTTTAAATGCAATTTCATAAATTACTCCAGAACAGTGTGTTCTCTGCTTAAAAATCCCTCCTGCCACTTTGGGAAGAGTAAGATGGCACTTCTGTTTCTGATCTGGAAAGACAAGAAATGAGAGGAGCTCCAAAGCCTGGAAGGAAGTATAACTATAAGCAATCATGATATGGAGAAAAGGCCTTATATCAGAGTAGTCATGTTATTTTGAAAAAACTTGTCCCCTTCACACAAAAATGCAATCTTCAAGGTAAACACAGTTGACCTTTGTTGTACCATCTCACAATATAACACCACCCTTGTTATGGTGCCAATGCAGGAAATATGCTGCTTGACCCTAAAATTGGTCTGAAATTTCAGAAGTGCTCAACTTAGGCTTGTCTAATGACAAATTGAAGCATGAGTACTGAAGAAGTTCATTATTTTATGATTTACCTATTCATATTCATGTTAAATTTTTGTTTAAGGCTTCACATGGTTTCTACATTAAAAAAAATGTTTAAAAAAAGTGAAAATACAGAGACTTTTGACTAGCTTGAATAAAAAGAACAAACTGATTAAAAATGGAAAGTTGCCAAGTGACAAGACTTATGGAACCCTCCATATGCAAAAACAAACTTTCAGACAGGTCTATTAGCTTATCCATAGGCTCAAGTAACTTGTAATTGAAAGGTCTGCATTTATGGAATATGAAATAGCCTACTTATAGAATTCCTTCCTCCCTTATAATAGGCCTAGATATAACACTAGCTATGGGACTTAGCCCTATGTCTACATCTATGATATCTGCCATACACTAGACCCACCTTCTTCTATGTAGAGCACACAGACACAGGTGATGACTTTGATGACTTCTGCTAAGAACACAGCTGTACTAGGAAGGTAATGTTGAGGTACTTTTTCAGTCCTGGAGTACCTCATGAGAAGCACAGTGGATGTGGTGATAAAGGTGAGCAGGACTAGACATGACAACTTCAGTGTTCTCTCAGACACAGACAACATTGCAGGTAAGTTTCCCCTATAAGAGAAAAGGATGGGGCCTATTGGTAACAGCAACATCTTTCACCAGAAAATGGAAGCATCTTGAGTAAGCAAATGGCCTTGGGCCAAATTGATCAAACTTACTGAAAGGTGAGAGGAGTACTATATTAACACTCAATGGCAACCACAGTCTGGTTTCCAAGCAAGAATCAGATGCACATTTGAGATACCTGATACAGGTTAGCTTGGTTTTCTGCATCAGAGCAAGCCATAGGTTGGTATCAAACAGGAACCTCCTGTCTACTACAAGCCAATAAACGTACCCTTGATGCACAGGGTAGAACACTGGCAAAACCATAAAATACACGAATGTAAGAAATGCTTGTGAATTTGAGTCTACTCCTTAATTTAAAAACAAAGCCAGAATTCTACCATTGCCCTTGCATGTTTCAAGGCATGGCATACCAGCTGCATGAATATCATATTGAAGGGCTGTTCACAAAAATGAAACTGAATTAGGTTAACATATCTTCATTCTCAAACTACCAAAGTTATTGCAAATACAGCCAGCCAAAAAAGTGACAGAGACAGTAAATCATAACTAATGTCTGCATCAATGAAACATGTAGCTGGTACATGTTATGCATAACCTTTGACTATCCAGGCTATATTACATGCCCACCATCCTTCTCTGTAAACATTTTACTCCTCCTTTTATAGAACATTGTACATCTTGCATCAACAGACCTTCCTTATAAATACCATATGCACTGCACCCCTCTCCCTTCACCATCACCCAGTGGAGTCTCATGTCTGTGCTTATAATACCTGGATTGGGTGAAAAGGCATGTCATAATTGCTGGAATATGAATAATTTATTACATGTTTCCTCTCCATCCATAGCAATGTTGCATCAAAGTTCCTGATCATCAGGGTTCACTTCCTCCATTGCATCTTAACCATCCAGCTTATTTTTATTGTATATGGGTCTGTCCACACCAAGTGGTCCTAGAATTTGAGCAAGGAATTTTCCTAAATATGCAAATATTACATCATTACAGACGTTCATCATCACTTTTATCAGAAGACATGAATGAAAGAGAATATTACATTGAAAAATGAAAGAATTTGTCATGATTATGATATTATTATTCATACCACTCTCATGATACTCAAAAATGTGATGAAAATGCAAATCTGGAGAGACTGAAATGGACTACTGGAATAGATGCCAGCATGGGCTTTCCATGCATACTGATAATTTCAAATCAGCTCAGGTGTGAAGAGTAGATGTCAATTGTTCACATTTGAATGATATCTTTAAAATAAAATTTATATATATATATGTACAGAATTCTCATTTCAAGATACATTTTCAGAACATGTCACATCCTACACCTTCCTGTCACATCTGATGCCATCACAAAATAGGCTTACTTTCTGTTTCAAGTGTTGTAATCTTGGGTGACTAACACTAATTCCAGGCTTTCATTCAATCTATAGAATGAACATGAAACTAAATTATTAGGGTCCACTCAATGACAAATATGTGAACATTAGTGCAAGTGACTTTAACTTGAGGTTCATGAAATGTCACGTCTGACACTTTTCTTGGCACATAGGTATACCTCTCACAAAAGAGAGAGTGCAAGACTTTGGATTATGGAATTTTCAGTCACTACCCAAAGCAAATTGTTACAGCCTTTATATGCTGATTTGTCATCCATAATATAAATACATTTTGTATACTAAAAATATTACTCTGGATGTCACATCCAACACCATGGACAGACCTTATATTAAAAAGTATATAACAAAGCCTTCTCACTCACAGGCCTAATCCTATTGTCCCACTCCTAGATAAGTTCTCACTACTGTTACCATAATTATGGAATGTTTACACTTCCACTCTTCCTTTTTAATGATTAATTCTAGAATTTCTCTGCACTATTGCACTCCCGAATGCTAGGATGAGTTACGATTCCATCGTTCCCGTTCCAAGAGTCTTGCTCCCTCCTGCATATGGGAAACGGGACTCCACACATCCGCGGATAAGTGAAAAAGAAAAGCTCCACTGGGGACAATGATGCAAAGTATTAAGAAAAGGGACGGCAGTGTACACGAGCAAGGTCTGGAGTCACAAGACGTACTCTTAGAAGATCCCTGATGTCACCGACGCCGAAATGAACATCAGACTGCTCCGCGCTCTCTTACTTGTCAGAAGCACGCCAGTGTACATTGAATTAGGGCTTATTACATACATGCCCGCATGTGTACATATGTGTCCGTGTCTTGAAGCCGGGACAGGGCTCAGCGTGCATGGTGGCGGGCAGGCGTGCGCCTAACGGACAATAGCCACGAGCTCTAGTCATATCGCTAAGTGAAAGGAACATGTGCTGTCATCGTCGGCGCGGGTAAAATGCAGAACCTTGCGGAATGCGGAAAGAGATAAATATGGATCTTTCCGAAATGTAGGATATTTAGAATCTCTCTTCTAGAGCTTAGAATCGAGTATGTGTATTGATGAATCAGAGATCCGATGTTACCTGTTTGATGCATACTCAAGTAGCACACTTCCATTGGTCCGGTAACGGGCAAATATCGGTGGATCTTGACTGAGGCTGGCATTGTTAGTCGAGCATCCCACGGAATTCGATGCCATTTGCGGAAATCGGCGACACGTCTTTCCAGAAGCTAAGCGGGCAGCGGTAAGTTGACCCAGTGATGTAGGAGTAATGGTAGCAAGTGCGACGTTAACCGAGTCAGACCGCCAGTTTCATGGCGTGCTACGTGGGGATGGATCTGTTTCATGAAACCACCTGATCTATGCACCCGGCACTATGCCTTCGAAAAGAATCTGGTTGTGGACAGGTTACATTCACAGGTGCTGCCTCGTGCAACACCCGACTAAGTGGAGGCAATACGGTGCAGCAATGATACTTCATTAGATGCACGGGGGATAGCGGGCCCCCCCTCTCTCCCTGGCACCCCTTTCTAAGTAATATTTTTCTCCCCTGATATCGTTCGAGTGAGATTTCACGCCCCCGCTGTGCTGTCCCCCCCCTCCCCCCCTCGACTCCTAAGTCAAAATACTCCACTGTGGTGCACATAACTGTTCAGGTGCGCCCTCAGAGTTCAGAGAAGGCTACGTATGAGACCAGCCCGGGATGAGCATGTTCATCTGGTTCCGTTCTCCTTCCACCCTAAACGGCTTCTTCTTTTTTTTTCCATTCATTCATCCTGTTCTGGGGGGATCCAGGCTGCCTTCCCACGTTTGGGTGGATTTTGCGAAGAGTCAATGCTACTATTTGTGCATGGTTTTCCCTAGGAACAAGGGTGACAGATAATGGTATGGGTGCTCATATATGAGACTTGAGGTCCCTATCTAGGCGCCCGTGCTCTTGTTCATGTTTTTACTATTTTGGTTCTGCCTAAGAAATGGAAGATTGTAATTAAATAATAGGTATGGAAAAGATCCTCCATATGCGAATAGACAGGCGTGAAAAAGCAGGAGTCTTTCATGAACCCTGTCAGGTCTGTTGCTACTGCTACCGCCTAGCCCTGTTACACAACGACGAATTCAATGACCTTCCTTGGCATCATCCACGCAACTGACGGAGGGGAACAGGGCCGGATGAAGAAGTTGCGAGGCCCGGGGCAAGTGAATTCTTGAGACCCCCCCCTTAATCCGGCTCTGGAGGGGGACGACGAGGCAGGCGATGGTGGGTCCATCGCGAGATGAATTGGGACTTCTGCTCTGCTGGGGCCTCGGGTGCTCGCGGTGCCAGAGCTAGCGACAGTTGAATGCATGGATCCTTTCGGGATCCAAGGGAAGTCTGGTTGGTCTGATTTCGCGCCGAAAGAAATCGAGTCTTAAAGAGGATTCGATTTTGCAACCTACAGGTTACAAATTAGGGACGTATTTGGAGATCAATTTTCGTACCGAAGCGGTACCGTCCCTTCCGCGACTGATCGTGTTGGAAGGGGAATAGAGCTGCCTCTGTCAGCGTCTTCACGAGTCACAGGTCCTACAATGACAGATTCAGATGCTCTCATTCACCCCATTGTTTCTTTTCCTACCTGTTTTATTTGTTCAGGGGGATTTGATACAGCGCGAACGCAGCCAAACATGCCACGGCCGGAGGAAAGGCATTATTTGAAAAAGGCAAGGAAAAGTAGGAGCTTAGTAGCTTGAGGTTCTGGTGCCCTTTGCCTCAGTCTGCCACGAAATACCAGTGCCTCATGACATTGGCGGCATTTTGACGAACTGGCGACTGATTCCGTACCCGGGAGAAATGGAGCGACCTGATTGGTCCTATTTGGTCTCATGGTCGCGCTGGCCGGCCACGTGCTTTTCTATGGTTCCTACGTTTCTCGGTTGCATCAACTTAGGCTTTATGAAACAGAGAAAAAGAGGATTTGAAAGTTTTTTTCTTATTCCGCAGCCCCTCCTGCCAATGAAGTATCAAAACATTAGCATGTCCTATCGAGCAATCACATTTTAAGGTAGGGAGGCTATGCTTTTGGGTTAACTACTTACCTCGTTCGCAAAATGACTTCATACTTCTTCGCATAAACTTAGTGGGATTTACTATCACCCTCTATCTCCATCTAAAGGAGCCTGCGCCCATGAAGAGCAGAGGTAAGGTATAATCATAATGAAGCAGAAGATACCCTATGGTTTAGGAATATTACTATTCTCAGGCCAATGTTTGGTAAGGGGCATGTGATGAGACAATGGGGAAGCATGTGTCTCCCAACCTGCCAGATTGGATCCACTTGACAGGCAATGGTGCAACCAGATGTGAGTTTCAGGAGGGGTTCCTGCAGTTGATTGCTTTCATGGTGGCTGCTTTCCAGTTGAAAGATTCTGAGAAGACAGATGAGCCAAATTTGAATCACTTTGGCTATAGGTGGATTGATCGCAATGCAACATGTAGTGTGTGATGAATTGGGAACTGATGAAGAATTCCATTTTCAAGTATCATTTGTATTTAAGTTACTCCTTTAATATGTGATGA